TGGGGGAGAGACATGTAGGGATAATTTCAGACCCCATCCAAGGGGGGGGGGGGGAGAGGTTCCCCCCTCCCGGGTTTTTCCCCACTTCACCCCCACGCCCGGGTTTTCTTTCCCCAGCATCCTCCGGTACCCCGGGAGCCCCAGCCCCCACAGCACTCCCCACTGGGGGCCCGGGAGAGATTGGCCCCCTCCTTTTTGGCCCTCCGGGACCCCCCGGGAGACCCCGTCGCCCAGGAGGCCCATCCCCTCTTGCGCCCCGTGGGATTTGGGGGGGGGTCCGGGGTTTAACCCATGGGCCTTTCCCATTTTTGTTCCCCAAGAGTCCTCGGGGGGGGGGGGGGGGTGCACGACGCATGCGTCCCCGCTTCTCGAAACAAGCATGCGCACAGGGTGGAAGTTTCTGCTGCTGCCGGGCCTAACACTCATCCGATCTCCACCCCTTCACGCCTACAATCAGGGAGGGGGTGGTACTGTGGAAAACGTACTAAGGAACAGAACGGGGGCGCACATCGAAGGTGGGAGGCGAGGCCACGGTTATTATCCCGCACTTGTTGGAAACGAAGTACCAAGAAGATACCACGCACGGGGGCGGAGGAAAAATTACAGCATTGTCCCCCTTTTTTCCTCGACAAACAGGGCGCATGAAGTGGGCACCAGACCCATCTTGCACAAACGAAAACATCAAGTCTTGCTCTGCCAACGGGGGGAGGGTGTACCGTGTCGTCTGTTCACTGCTATCTATATCGTCGTTCTGTGCCCACACCCGAAAGATCGCCCACTGCAGGAAAGCCACGAGGATGGCGCATCCCGTCTGCTTGAGCTTGACGATGATGGTCAGGAATGACCCAACCAGGATGAGAGTGCTCCTCGTCCTGACCCCCAAGTCCTACCAACCACGACACACGAGAGCGCGCGTGAGAGAGAGAGGGGGGGGGGGGGTGTACTCATAGTCGTGCATGCCGTAGTCGTTTGACCATTGACCTCGCATCCCTACAAAGCCGGGACGGAGCACGCCGGGTTCTCACCGGACCAGGCTCTCACATCACCAAGCGCGAAGCGCCGTGAGGTATTTGGCGAGTCGCATGAAGGGTGAGCTGCATCCTGCTAAGGGTGTTCGGCATCTTGTGCTTACTTCCTTGCGTACGTATGACAGCTACGTATGACTTAATTTATTTTCTGGTGCTTTCACTTCCAGAGACAGTTGTAAGCACTGTGTAACTGCCTCGAGGAAGCTTGACCATTTTAACACAACGTGGGTGCGGGGGGGGGGGGGGGAGCGTTCGCGTGTGCGGGGAGGGTTTGGGTGTAAACGGCCGGTTGTGAGGAATTGGGTTTTGGCCTCATCGTCGCCCATCGCCCGCCAGCATATCCTGTGGAAGGTGCGGGCTCCGACCTAAGCAGAAAAGTTCAAGAGGAGAGGGACGTCCACGGAGCACTTGAGGCCCTCACTCTTAGGACGTTTCGACCGGAAATGCGCGTGAAACTCTCAAAACCAGCACCCATTCGAGACAAGGAAAAAGGGCGTTCCAACGGAGATGGGCGGAAAGCCTACCTGTGGCGGTACCGCGACACGTGATCAGAGCAAGACACGAAGGAACGTGGTCTGTACCAATGCCAACATACCAAACTTGGGCTGGCCCATCCGGGCAGCCTGACATACAAAAAACCCTAATAGGGTTTCGAAAAAAAAAACACAGGTGCAAAGAAAACGGCGCCAAGGGCACGGCCAACCAGAACGTCGATCCTCAATGAGGGAACGGCCCCTCACCCCTTTCGCTTTCGTCTCAGGCTTCCGTCCGAGCGCCACGCCGGCGCCAGCCCCCGCGCTTGCTCCCCCGCTCGCAGAGATGCCTCCGCCAGGCGGATTGTCCGCAAGCTCCGCTGCCGATGTTGCTCCTTCCGCAACGGTCGCGGCAGAACCCCCCGCCCGCAGCCTGCCGACCAATGGCACCACGCGTTGTATTTCTTCCTCCCGACCAGAAAGACTCCTGTGCGGAACATGATTGATGACGGGGTTTGCGATGTTCAGCCTAGGGGAACCGCGTGCGCTAGCCGTTATCCCCGCTCCGGGCACGCCTCGCTCACAGTGGGAGGCAACGCGTCTGCTGGGTGGTTGGTTGCACAGTTGGTGTCCGTAACGTGGTGGCATTGACCCGGAAAGTTTTTTTTCGCAACAGGCTTATAGTTCGAGTCAGGGGTATTCGTTGCCAATTCCGTTAATTTTCGTCTTCCTTCCCCGAAGAAAGTTCACACGCGACGACTTCTACTTGGGGCGAATTCTAGTTCTTGTAACCTTCATGTCTGATAACCTTCATGTCTGATAACCTTCATGTCTGATAACCTTCATGTCTGATAACCTTCATGTCTGATAACCTTCATGTCTGATAACCTTCATGTCTGATAACCTTCATGTCTGATAACCTTCATGTCTGGTAAACTTCATCACAAAAAAAAAAAGGAGTCGGCCGCTGCGGGAAAACGGCACCCGAGACGCGATAGCCAGGAGGATAGATGGAAACATAGAGATCAGCAGTAGCAGGTGAGGAGCACACGACGGGCAGAAAAATCTAGTCAAGACGCAGCCAGAGAGAGATCATGTGGAATGTGTCTCCACGTCGAGAGAACCAAAGTTATGACCGCTGAGTTGAACTTGAGGACACGCACACCAACAATCAAAAGGGATGAGACATCGAGAGGATGGCGGAGGAGTGATGAGTGCCCGCACGTCGAGCGACGGCAGTAGCCTTCGCCGGGATATTAAGCTTATCAGTGTGGGGTACGGAGAGAGAGAGAGAGAGAGAGAGAGAGAGAGAGAGAGAGAAAGAGAAAGAGAAAGAGAAGGAGGGAAAACGAGAGACATAGAGACAGAGAGAGGCAGAGAAAAGAGAGAGAGAAAGTTTTCGTATGAGAGAAAATTAAAATTCCAAGAAACTTGAAACGCTGCTCTGCCAGAGCTCTAGAGAAGGGCCGAGGTTATGAAGCCAGGACAAAAAAAAATCGCGTCTGCTAGGCAGCGAGCGGGAAAACATTTGGGCTTCATTGCCAATCTATCGGACCCTTCTTATCTACGGAAGAGATTGATTCGTTGTGGTTCTTGAAAGAAAAAAAACGGCAACAGACCAATCCATCGTATACTCTGGACTTTACCTTCGGAATGCATCCTTGCTGTACAAGTAAGGCGGGCGTACATCTGCACGCATAGGGAGAGAAAATGTCCTTGCAGTTTTCTTGGAACTAGAGTGCCGATAAGACACGTGGCGAGTGTACATGCGTGCATCCTGCTGCTTTCGTTCTATTTTTGGCTTGAACCACTGGCGATCGACCAAACCTTCCAAACTTGCATTGGATTCTATATCTCGAATGGGTGTTTTTATTATTCCTTAATTCTGCTCGGTCGTTGTTTCCGCTTCAATGGCGTGCAGGCAATTTTTCATATCTTTGGACTCTCAACGGTGGATAGAGTTGATTCATTGCGTCCATCGGTAGGCACGTAAACCTCAGATGATTCGTTGTTCGTATGCTTTATATAGAAGTGCATGTGTCAACGAAAAATTACGCATTCTCTTAGAAACTGTAAAAAATATGGATGACATTGCGCGTGTTCGGCGGGACTGTCAGAATTTGCCCTGTTTTTTCCTGATGTGTGTGTACAACTTAGCCTGCTCAATGTTCTCCCCCACGTGAAGCCTCACTCCGCTGCATCCCTCTCACGCAACCTCACCTCTGCCGGCAAGGCTCCATAACTTGATGAGCCCTAGCATCCAGCATGTGACCGCCCACCAGGGTCGGCAACAGAGCCGCCACCCAGCACAACCGCCGTACTTGCAGACGAGGAGACATGCTCAGGCTTTCCAATCCCTCTATCGCTTTCAGCAAGCACAAATGTTTACGGCACGGTGTATTGATATTGCGGCCAGTACGCCCTGCTTTCGTTGAGTGATCCCAGATTCTCAGAGCCCCGTTACGAAGGATAGACCGAGGGGTGGTGCGGCTGCGTGGTCCATGTCTTGGGACATCCCAGTGGGGGGCACGCGACCAAGAATATGTACGTCATCATTCGACCGCACGCGGACACCTGCTGACCTGCTGCTCTCGGCTGTCGGTAGCTTTCGCAGATGCACACACGACTAGGTAGGTAGCATACGTCATGCATACACCTGGCCATGTAGGTGAAGGTCTGGCCGTGAGGAGACCCACCCGAGTTGGACTCTCTCTACAGCAGCAGCCCAACGGAACGGGGTTCGCGGCTGTCGCATTGATTGCCAGCATAGACTCGAATACCGCCAAGGTTGGGTAAGATATCACACCCCCTGGACCGATTTTCACAACTCGATTACTCCACGACGAACAAGGGTGCCGAAATCAAAAGACACGTTTTCGGAAAGCTCTCGATGAAACGGTTCCAACGCCGCCATTTTCGGCACCGTCAATGATTTTGTTACCGAGAAATCGAGCTTCGAAAATCGGTCCAGGGGGTGTGATATCTTCGTTATTATCCAACCAAAACCTACGGCAAGCCCTTTTTCCGGGTGCGCAATGTACTGCTGTCTTGTGGGTAACCCCCAAAATTTAGATATTTACCAATGAAAACCTGCCCGTGTGTTTGTGTGGTGTTTGTGTGTTTTCGTCCTATTTATTTTATGGCGACAGTCCCCCCATTTTTCGTGGTGAGACGTGTACTACTGCTGTACACTGTAGAGTACTACACTTACTTTTCAGTGTACTTTTCGTACAACTACCAACCATCCAGGGTCACACGGGAGGGTGGGGGGGGGGGGGGGGGTGTACTCATAGTCGTGCATGCCGTAGTCGTTTGACCATTGACCTCGCATCCCTACAAAGCCGGGACGGAGCACGCCGGGTTCTCACCGGACCAGGCTCTCACATCACCAAGCGCGAAGCGCCGTGAGGTATTTGGCGAGTCGCATGAAGGGTGATGAGCTGCATCCTGCTAAGGGTGTTCGGCATCTTGTGCTTACTTCCTTGCGTACGGATGACAGCTACGTATGACTTAATTTATTTTCTGGTGCTTTCACTTCCAGAGACAGTTGTAAGCACTGTGTAACTGCCTCGAGGAAGCTTGACCATTTTAACACAACGTGGTGCGATCATCCCCCGTTGCGCGGAGTGAGGGTCCTCCACCCCGCACAACATGATCTACTCGACCACCATTATGGTTACCGCCAAAAAAAAAAAACCGAGGTAAAAAAAAAAAAAAAACGGTAACCTGGTTGCCGAGTTCACGAAGTGAATTGGCTTGTTTTACAACGTCGTTGCCAAGCGACGAAAACCCAATCCCGATGGCAAACACCGAGCGGGGTAGGGGGGAGGGGGGGGGGTAAATACCAGGGCCATTTTCTTCTTTCTGTTTATTTTCTTGTCACGCCTTCCTTCTGCAAGGGTTAGGGTTAGGGTCTTCCGAGCGGTTTCCCAGGGACGGACTCGGACCTGAAACCCGGCGTAAGGGACTACGACACAAACAATTAAGGGCGCGGGGGGGATCGCAGTACTTCCTCTTCAAAAAAACAGGAAACACCTGGAAACCCCTGCATATCTCGGTTTAAATCTAACTCCAGTACCAAACTACCATAGTAAATTAACCGCCCGCAGCGGTCGCTTGTGTACAATGTTAGTATC